TAGAAGAATCTGCTACAAACCAAAACGAATCATTAGGTTCGTGTTAGTCTCACAGATCAGTTTTCTAGTTTAATTACATGAGCTGCCCTGTTTTGTAGGTAGCACATTCAGCACACAAATGAATTTTCCCTTTTTCTTTCACATAAATGTTGCTCCGACACAAAGAGTTCAATTTAAAAGCGATGTATTCATCGAAAAGCTGCCACTAGGCGTAAATGTTAAGTAAGTCCTCCATAATACATCTGACTGTATCAGATTTCAATCAACTTTTTATTTGAGGAAAATGAAAATCGGTGGTGTGTTTATTCAAGGACCGAATCATCTAGGACCAAATCATATCGAATACCCAGTTGTTCAGGTAAGAACCACACACTGTAGCTCCTTCAATTACAAGATTTAGAATCTGCACTGGCATATCTATTCTAGTTCCATATTCCACGTGAACTTCAAAATTTAGACTGGACATTATCGTTGTATGTGTTGACGGAATATTATAAGAATCAAAGCTTCTTTCAACATTTTTCAAAAGGAATTTTGAATAATACTGATACTCCAGATTCTCCGATTGATAATCCGCACCACATTACATTAACAAAAGACGATATTGAGAGAGGACTTTATGAGTGAGTGTACTAAAAGGTTTTTGTTTATCTGTATATGCTTGCGCTGCAGTTAAAAGAGAATTGATTCATGGCTTTTCTGTCTTTGGATTCCATGCGAATCTGATGTAACGACGACTAAATAAGACAAGATAGCTGAAACGATCCATCACTTTGAAAGAAGTTCGTACATGCAGTTAAACTCTCTTTTGTTTATGGTTTCGCTTTCTAGAGTTCGTGTTCGATTATTAAATATTACTGGTATTGCGGAATTAAAAAAAAGACCATTGATACTATTTCCTCACCAACAACATGCTGGATTACCGTGTAGTGATACAGCCAAAAGTCTTGAACTTGATGCAAAAAAATATCATCTTGCCGCTGTTTTATCTTGCAACGACCGAGCGGTGCGCGTAACTGTATCGAATTTGACGACAGAAGAAGAAAGATAATCGTTTTAAGATGCAAAATTACAGCTATTATGTAACACAATTAAAAACAATCAATAAACTTGCTCTACACCGTGTACATTATATGTTGTAATTTCTCAGTAGAGAAGCATATCCCGGTCCGGCTTTAGAAGAAATTACCTTCTGAAAAAAACCTTATACTTTGAAAAAGTTGGTTGGCGGGAAGACAGACTTTAGACCAAGAAAATCGAATTGAACACCGTTTTCAACGCTCTTTCCAACAGTATAATTAAAAATTCCAGCTAACGCCACTATTTTTCCGTTAACGAACTATATTGGACAAGCTGCTTATATCCCGATTTGGATATCCCAGGTCGACGATTCTGGAGACACGTTCCTGAAAGATCCGACCGGATCCGACGTCAAAACATGCCGGAAGCCGACTGAAACCATGCTAGCACAATGTGACCAGTTGTCAGGTGTTTTAAGGCTAAAAATAGCCTTAAATTTTTTTTGCTCCTATCTGTGTTCATTCGCGAGTCCACTAGCTAGGACGTGTACAACACGTCCGTTGAACAGCGTGCATTTCTATGCATCATAGGATCCATCAATTCTCATGACCGGAAACTAACGGATTCGACTGATTCCCGATATCGCACCCGATCCCCGATGTCCAGGATCCAATTATCGGAACGCAAAGGAACTGAGCGAATTCCAATGTCCGGATTCAGTCGGACGTTTGATCTCCGGAAATCATCGGAATTAAAAGGATCCGATCGAGCGAATTCGACCTGGGATATTTTATTTCAAACCCGGATATATGGCCCGATCGGGATATAGAGCCTGCGTCTGTACTGTCTCTGTCATTTTGTTTTATCTATGTATGATACCGGTGTATTTCCTTTTTGCTCATCAAAACCGCAACACATCGGTTGAAAAATAAGTGTTTCCTGTGTAGGCATTTTAAAAATAATGACTGTCTTTTCCTACTTGTTTTAAACAAAAATACCTCATGTATCCATCCTATTGTTTCTATGTTGATAATCAATACACAAAATAATAAATAAAGAATATGCGGCAAAGTATCAAACAGTCTTAGGTGACACCAAATAGTTAGTATGCTCTTATTTATCCTTCGAAGCAGAGAATGAATGGTTATAAAGATACAAGAGAGCGGGAAAAAGGCATTCTTCTTTGAAAGATAATGGATGATATTCGTCGAAACCTTTGAGAATATTCAACAAGAAACAAACTAACGCAACACAGATTTGGATCATCTAAACCGTTTTTTTATATATTGTAAATTTGCCTTCGTACAATTTCACATATTCATCCAGTGAATTTTATCCGAGCAGAATTATTTTTCATTGCATCAGTGTCACTATGGTGGATACACTTTGACCACAGTCCACATACCAGTTGTATATTAAATTAATCATTTCAG